GAACCAAAGCTATTTCCTAGACAGTAGGTTCAGTGTTCTCAGGCCATGACGAGGGTTTGACCTCGGATGAAAGCAATGGAACCACAACAGACTTGGGGGATTCTTTAAAGCAATAATAGCTAGGGCTTTGTGCTAGGGTAGGTTTTTGGTGGTGTTAAACGTGAATGCAGGTTGGGGGAACGGGGAGAGAGGGAAAGGGGCCAGTCTGGATGGTTGGAGGCTTTGGTAGGGAGGAATTGAATTTTCATGGTGAAAATCCAAGACATAACAGAGAACTCCACTGACAGCTGTCTTGTCTTGCATTTGCCCCTAGGAGATCATCCTGTGGAGAAAAGCACCTGAAAAACTGAGAAAACAGAGGACGAACTTTCACCAGCGTTTTGAATCTCCAGAATCACAGGCATCCGCAGAGCAGCCTGAGATGTAAGTAGAATAGGACAAAGCAGCAGGAACAAGAACTGTAGCCGAGAGGTGGAGCTCAGTGAGCTGAAGATGGTCCCACCTGGGAGAGTGCAGCTCTGTCTGCTGGTCTTCCTACCCTCAAGTGCTGCGTCTGTCTACAGTATGATTAAAGGTTCTTTGTGTACATACATTTTACAAAGTGCTTTCTTGGAAACACTGGAGAATTCTTAAGCTGCCTTTTTGTTTTCTTTTTTACTGCATACTGATAAGCACTCAGATGCATCAGCATAAACATTAAGGATTTTCATGTGAGTAGGCTGGTATTTGTAAATTTTTTCCTTACACATAATGTTGAAAATCCTTTTCTCTTTTTTTCATGCTAATGATTACCTCTTATTGTCTATGTGCAAAAAATTAAATTTTTTTTGTTCAATTAAAATGAGAAAACCTGAGCACCCTTATGTCCTGCAAAGTTTTAAGGCACCGCACCTCTGTAGTTTAAGAATTGTTTTTACATGCGTATCAGAAACCAAACTGGTGTTGCATGGTAGGTGCTTCTGGATCTACCATTTCATGGCCTCCTGAATTTTAATCTCCAACCAAGGGATTACATGGCATACCATTGTGGTCCTCTTCCTCCATAGTAACCTTTTTGCTGTTCCTTTATCACCATGTAGGTTCTGCAGTATGGAGTTGACATGTTGCCATTTTAGAGCGCCTTATAAACCTGTATTGTTTTTCTATAGATACTTTGGAACACACACATATATACATATATATATATGTATGTATGTATATGTATATATATATTTATTTAAGGACTCTTTGCCATGTGTATGGAAATAGTCATTTGGAGATGAGAGGGCTCAAGAGGACCTGTGAAGTATATGTAGGTATCCAGATCTGGACAATTTCTTGGTAACAAGAACATTGGCTAGTTCAAACTCATTTAAATGTCACCTAGTCTATTTAAAAACAAAAACAAAACACTAAATTCAAGTCATTTGTTCAGTGTCTCTGAAGAAGGCGGCTGCAGTCATCTGAGCATGGATACACTAATGTGGAAAATGGGGCAAGATGGAGCCTGCTAGGGAGCTGTGCTCATTCATGGTTCTTTTTTTTTTTTTTTTTTGTACCAGTATTCCTTGACACAGTTCAGAGAAAGTTTTGTCAGAGACCTTACTTCCTGAGTAATCTGAAAAGCCTGAGTCCATTTCTTTAAACCTATTTTACTATGATGGCACTTTAATAAAATGGCCAGCAAGCAACCCTGGCCAGAGGTTCCACATACCATGTCCTGGAGCAGCTATTGTAAATGTGGATTTCTAAGAATGGCCATGTTTCCCTTCAAGTAAGTGCCTGTTCAGAGTTTCAGATTTTCAAAATGCCAAATATTTTCATGGTCACTTGCATGTAGTAATCTAGGAGATATTCAGAGATTTTGGAAACCAATTGTATTTAACCAGCCTCAAGTTGTGCAACTATGATGTATAATAAATAATTTGAAACAGAAACTAAGCTTGTAGTCTGAGTAAAATGACTTCATTCTCAAGCCTTCTCATTGTTAGTGGGTTGAACACAGGATTGTCTAATGGTTTAGGAAAACACAGTCATAACAGTGAGTTTTTATCAATAGAACATAGCTTCAGGTTTTTTTTTTTTTACTGTGTATTGCTGTTTTGCCTGCATGTATGTCTGTCCAGACATGTGGGCAGTGCCCAAGGAGGGCAGAAGAAGGCATTAGACCCCCCAGGAGCTGTAGTTACAGATGGTCTCCTAGGTGGGAGAATCAGTGGCATATCTGAACCTCTTCAGTATGGATATGGTAGTTCTGATACAATTCAGTTACAGTGTAATGAGCGAAGTGAATTGCTGTACCATTTGTATTGTCTGAATCTGCTGGCATCCTCTAGTGGCTTATACCTCTCCTGGGACTTTACAGATTTAAAAATTTCAGCAATATGCAAAAGCATAGAGAGGAAAATACAAGTTTTTTTTTTCTCTAAAAAGACTTAGATGTTCTGAAATTGTTACATGTTGGCTACTGAATAGCATGGTTAGATTCTATGTTGCAGAACACCTCATCAGCTCTAGTTATGTCCAGTTCTGCACATACTGCTGCTTCCCACCCTTGCTCCACTTGACTTACATTCTAGTAAGGCTGTCCCAGGGAACCTTGTGTATTTTGAGACAGGGTCTCAGTAGTCTTGGCCAGCCTGAAAGTGTATGGACCAGGCGGGCCTCAAACTTAGATAATGTTGCTTCTGCCTTCCAAGTGCTGGGATTAATTTTGTGTGCCACCATGCCTGGCTAAGTCTATGAATTTTCAAGTTCAGTGTTGAGGGAGGAGGAAGGGGAGGGAGGTGGACTTAATTAGGAAGGAGTGAGAGAGCCTGGGAGTAGGGTGAGAATTCTGAGGCAACAGAAGGGAATCTTCAGTTTCAAACGTGGGTGAAATGGTTAGGGTGAGCCAGCAGGAGTTTCCAAAGTGGGTAAATTGGACTAGGAGAGTAGGATGGTTTTGGAGGGCATACATTTTTGAGCCAAGCACAGGGATTTTGCCCAACAGTTAGCCAATGACCAATATAAGAGAACTGATTGAGGTTCTGGGGTACCTGTGACCTTGAGCCAGATGGTGGGGTCCAGGGGGCTGCTGGCCAGCCTACTTTATATAAGGGCCAACTGACCTCACAAAAATCACGTGGCAGGGGCTGGAGAGATGGCTCAAGAGGTTAAGAGCACTGACTGCTCTTCCAGAGGTCATGAGTTCAATTCCCAGCAACCACATGGTGGCTCACAACCATCTGTAATGAGATCTGGTGCCCTCTGCTGGTGTGTAGACGTACATGGGGGCAGGGTGTTGTGTTCGTAATAAATAAATAAATCTTTTTAAAAAAAATCATGCAGCTTTCCCTTAATGAGGGTAACACAATAATTGTCCCCAAACTGTGGGGAAGATTCTTTAACATGCATTGTATGGGAGGTTTGGAATGGTTGGTCCCCATTGTGGAGAAAGGTTTATGTGACTCCAGGAAGCAAAAGGTCAAAGGAACCAGACTGCAGAAGGTGAGAAGAAGATGAGGTGATCTCAGGTAAGGTCTTTGAGCTGAGGACAGGGAAGAAGGGGTAGGTCCAGGAGGGTACTGGCTTATATAGCTAGAGAACTCTTGCCCTAAGAAAGAAAGGAAGGAGAGTAGGTTTGCAGACTGTGGGGTCTCCCTTTCCTTGTCCTTTGGCCACCAATCCACAAGGACAAAAGTGTGCAGGGCTTTGTATGGCTTGTGAGTATGATGGAAATAGCCTTTCAGGAGTCTGCTTCAGTGTTACAGCTCATCTTTATTTCAGAGTAAAGGGAATATAGGATGGCAACTGGCTGGGCATCAACTAATTTGCATTCCACCTATCATGCAGCTGGAGTCCAATACCTAATTACCATATGGTCAGCAGGGGTTGAGCATATATAGGGAACTTTGTCAAAAGTCACACTTAAAGACAAATCAGGCACCTGGGCTCAAAGCTTTCAAATAAGGTCAGGCAGAGAGCAAGAAGCTCCCAGTGGGGGAAGGGAGTCCTCCATTTTGTGCCAAGCTCAGGAGAGCTGTCCAGACATGGTGGACTGCAACCTCTAAGTGGCAGGGTCTCCAACAGCAGATAAAAGACAAGTAGGGCAGAACTAATTGGAACCATCAACATTATCCCAGTGAAGGGATTAACACTGCTCATTTAACTTGGATGAAGAAGATGGTGGATTACTCCCTGAAAGGTAAGGTGCACATCCCAGGTTGGCTTCTGGCTGTCATTAAGTAAAAGAATCTGGAGGTCAGCCAACTCTTCTGTCCTTGAAATGGATAAAAGGGACACGACACAAGAGATTCACAGAGAACAAAGATGAGCCTCCCTCCACCCCACCCCCAAGACAAGCACTGTCCAGAGCAGAACTTGCTTTGCTCACCAGTTCTCCATCTTGGGAAACTGACAATAGGTGGATTCTGAACTGTGACCATTAAGCCATATAAAGTCACTGCCTATTAGGACCCATTTAGATCCATAGCCTCTGCCAGATTCCCAGCTCTATGGAGCCTGTGTTCCAGATTCAAGCAAACTGGTTTCCTGAATCATTCACCTATAACTTGGGTTGGCCACTTGCTCAGATTAAATCAGGAAATTAGGTCTTTTGTAATTGGCATTCCAATATAAAGCAAAAGTACAGGGAAATATTTCAGGAGTGCCACCCCCCTTTTATTTTTCCAGACAGAGCTTCTCTAGCTTTGGAGGCTGTCCTGGAAGTCGCTCTGTAGACCAGGCTGGCCTCAAACTCAGAGATCTGCCTCTCAAGTGCTGGGATTAAAGGAGTGCCTTCTTGAACTAGAACTGAATATAGAATACAGGTTTACCTCCCAGGAGAACCAGATGGATTGGTGTCTGGGAAGATGGCAGTCATACTGGACATCTCCAGACTCAGCAAGAGGGGTGGGGCCTTGGAAAGTCTTCAGGGCATGCATCCCCTTCAACATCTTGTCTGGAGTGAGTGAGGCTGAGTCTCAGGTGGTATGGGATAGCTCACTGGGACCACCAAATGAGATGCCCACAACCACAAATAGAAGGCCAAGCGAGAGAGTCCTTTATTTAAGCAACTAAGAGTATGCTTCTGCCACAAAGAACTCTCAGACCCATGTAAGAAAATATGGTTTACAGAGACAAAAACAAGCATCATTTCCCTGCAAGGAAGGAGAAAACTCTTTGTTCTGTCAAGCAAGATAGGAAGTGGAGGTCTGGGGGTCAGTTGTGTGTGTATGGGGCGGAGGGTGTCAGGGCTGAAGGGTTAATGACCTGAAAGCTTCAGGCAAGGTGAGAAACTCCATACAAGAAAGTTGACATATTGATAACATCTGCAGGCAGTCTGGAGCTGGGAAAGGAAGTCAACATATTGATAAGAACCTCTGTTAGAGCAGCACAGATCTGTAGATGGAATTTACACCCTAATCCCTTTTCTGCCCTATATAAAAACCTCAATCCCCCCCCCCCACACACACAACTTGGAGCATAGTCTCCGATCCTGCTGAGATTGTTGCCCTTCATTGTTCTATTCTAATAAAGGGTAATCTGCTTGTTAGGCTCCCTTTTATTTGTAAGTTGTCTTGCTCAATACTGATCTGACTGCTTGTAACCCCATTCCCTTATGTATATTCTTGCCTTTGTTCCTTCCCTTTTCACTGTATCCTTTTAACAATGTATAACTGCCCACCCCTGTGAACAACTTAACTCTCTCCTATAAGAGGGGATTATAGGTAAGCAGGGCCTGCTTTCTTAAATTCCAACTTGATTTAGGGTGAGGCAGCTGACTGGCCAGTCTAGGGTGAGCCCCCAAATACAGCTATCTCGCTTTAATTGGACAATCGTGGGTCTTTTCTCCTGAATATCAGGTTTAACAGCAACCTGACTTCTAGACCATTTACTTAACATTTGTCTTCGGACTAGACTATACTTATCATTTATTTCTCCATGCCTCTTGTTTGCTTTTAAATCTACAGAAATCTCGTTATAGCTTTGGAAATTACTACCTTAACTTGCTGTTAGTCCGTTAGAATAATACATACTTGCATTATTTAATGGGTACCATAATCACCAAAGTCAGACCAGGAATGAGTGTAAAGTAATAGATTTTCTACCCCATCCCCCACCCCCTGAATAGGTTTCTCCGCCGATGTAGTAAGCCAGATCACGCCAAACTGAAAAAGTCTAACTGGTTTATTTAATCAAAGCAACTCCTTGGTGGGTTCTCCAGTCCCAGAAATCGAGGCCAGAAAAGCCGGCGCCCACAAATGAAAGCAAGTTGTAGGCAAGTGGTGATGGTGTGTCCGCCACAAGCTGAGTTTTTGTCCAGTATGGTCAAAAACTGAGTACTTTAGGGGGAACTTGGCGCCGCTGGCAACTTCAGGAGACAAAGTTGCCAAGAATTGGGAACTGGACTTTTTGGCGCCTTTTCTGCGTTCGGAGATGCTGAGTGAGCGGAGTTTGGAGAGAGACAGGAATGGGGCTTTCCGGATCATGCAGGGGTGAGCTGGAGGTCACAACCGAACATAAAGGACCTCTCCGTAAATCCCTAACGTTACCTTGTAAATCAAAAACACTTAGCAAACTGTTCCTAGAATCATTTGACATAAGATGATATCTATAACATGCCCCTCAAAGTTACAAGATCGTAATGTAGGAATGAGGGAGTGTGAGGAACATCTGACCGTTTGTTTTGAATTTAGTATGTTTCAGTCTTGGGAGGAAACTATCCAGCTAACGAGATTAATCTTTAAGCATGTACACGGTTGCTTACTTTTGCCTTGTTCTGACTTTCGAGTTGTGAGGAGTACAAGCTGCTCACATTAATGTGTATGTCCTGTAGCTCCGTGGTGGAGCAAATGTCTAGCATGCTCATGGTTCCATCATCGAGTCCTAGCACGGAGGGACGCACATGTCACACAAGGACTTTACTTACTGTCGTACGACGAAATTTCTCTGCAAACCGTCTTGATCTGTAACCGGTCAAGCTCTAACCTCCAACATTATCCTACCAGGAAACTAAGGATAATAAAGCACCAATTTTCTTGGAAATGGACTTTAGCGCTTAAAACCACGTGCTACTGGATGCTGGCTCACTGTAGTGGCCAGTTTGGTCACATGACGACTCTTGCAAGGTTCCCCTCGGCTCATATGTGGCGTCCCTAAAGATGCCTGATTATTTTTCCTTCTTTAGAGAAAGCTGCTGCCAATTGCCGCAGAAAGACTGAGAGAATGGGATCTCGTTTCCTCCAGTATACCTTACAGACGTCATTCTTCCGTGAAGAGAGCGAGCTTCCTGCCCTTACATCGCCTTTACGGTCAGGCGTGCACTGGGACAGTCCTGCGCCCGCTCTGGGTCCTTTCGCTCTGCGGGCGCCGGCGCGCGTCACTGTTCGGCGCCCAGTCGCCGGGCTTCTCCCGGCTCGGGGTAGAGCCGCGGCCTCGATGTCCTTAACTCGGTGTGCCCTGCTGTGGGCTCGGCTCCCGCCGGGGCGCGGGGCTGGGTCCCGGGCGGCCACCTGCTCTGCCCTTCGCGCCTCCGTGGGGCCTTTCCCCGGGGCTCCAGGACGCGTTCCCTGCCTGGCCGCCTCCTCTGCCTCTGGTGGCTCCAAAGCTCCGAACACGTCCTTGTTCGTGCCTCTGACAGTGAAGCCTCAGGGTCCCAGTGCCGACGGCGACGTGGGTGCCGAGCTCACTAGGCCTCTCGACAAGAGTGAGTGTTGGAGCCGCCCGGCGAAGCGGCAGGGTCTGATGCTCGAGTCTGTGCTCCTTTCTGGCGCCCTCAGCACTCGGAACCAGTTCATTTTTAACTCCCTTTATAGGGACACTGACCCTTCCCGTCCCTCCTCGGAGTGGTTAAACTCTGTCTCTTGGATTGAGAGAGTTAAGAAAGAATTTTGTTCTTTAAATGGTGCGCCGCTTGTTCTCGGATCCTCAGAGAGCGTGAACGGGTGACAGTGAGGACTTTCAGAATTCTTTGCCATTGACTGGATGCGGATGTCTAACAAAGTTAAGATGCCGTATTGTTGCCAAGACGACGAATCTCATCCCGATTTCTCAATAAATGTACTCTCCCACGAGGTAGATCGGCATGTAAATCCAAGATAGAAGTTGATAAAAGTGTCCTTGACAAAAGTAATAGACTTCCCTACCGTCTCAAGTTCCAGAGATGAAGGGGGGGGCACTTAGTATCACTGGGGGTCAGTGGGTTTTGTCCTACCAACTAGGTTTGGAAGAGTTTGACAAAAGAGTAAGTGTTTTCAGTGGGACGGGGTTTCAGATTATATAGATGGCACTGTATGATTAGGAGGGTGGAAGGTTTCCTCCAACCAAATGACATTCTTGGAGATTGAAGGAATACCACAGGTCTTCTAGACACGACCTGTCCAGGATCGACCTTTAGGCAGCTGGCTTTAATAAGCAAAATTGATGCTTCCTATTATGACTTTGAAATATAGACTTCATTTTGGGAGTCTGAGGCAGAGGGATGACAAGTTCAGTGCCATCCTGAGCTACAGAGTGAGTTCCAAACCAGCTAGGGCAACTTAAAGAGATCCTATTTCAAAATTAAGGTTTTTGTTTGTTTGTTTTTAAATGAGCTTGAGGATATACCCCTGGGATACAGCGCTTGCCATGCAAGTGCAAACCCTAAGTTAATTTCCCAGTACTGTAATCAACAAAATAGTACTCCTTTCCCCTTCCTCTCCCTCCACCTTTTCCATCCTCAAAAGAAGCCTAGGCTGTGTTGGTGGCACATGTCTTTAATCCCAGCACTTAGGAGGCAGAGGCAGGTGGATCTCTGTGAGTTCGAGGCCAGCCTGGTCTACAGAGCGACTTCTATGACAGGCTCCAAAGCAATAAAGAGAAACCCTGTCTCAAGAAACAAAACAACAAAAAGCCCAGACTGTTCTCAGACCACCATGACTGACACTATTGCTAGCAGTGAGGTTCACCTCTTCTTGGAAGTGATGGCTACTCTGGGAGCTTTGGGCAGAAGTGGAGGTTAGAAGACCACTCTGTGGAGTTGGCTCTCTCCTTGTGTCTGTGGTGTTGCAAGGAAGTTGTGTTGTTTTACTCTGTCATTTTCCTTACACCCCATTGCACATTAACTCACCCAGAGGGATCAACTCAAAGCTTCACGTTCTTGCAGCCTTCCTGAGGCTGTTGCCTTTTCATGATTTCACATTCCTTTTGCTTTTGTAGATGTGTCTAAATTGGGAAACAAATGTTAAACTTTTCTATTTCTCTTTTAGACGAAGTAAAGAAAATCTTAGACAAGTTTTATAAGAGGCAAGAAATTCAGAAACTGAGTGCTGACTATGGACTTGATGGTAAGGCCAACAACTTTTTAACATTTATTTTTAATTATTTTTTATCGTTTTATGTGTGTATTTCATCTGTATATATAGCTATGCACCACTTTCATGCATGGAAGAGGGTATTGGATACCTTGGAATTGGAGTTAGAGATGTTTGTGGGCCACTGTGTGGGTATTGAGAATGGAGTCTTGTTTCCCTGGAAGAGCTGCTGGTGTACTTAACCACTGAGCTATCTCTCCAGCTCTGCCAATAACATCTTTAAAGAGTTGTTACATTTTACTTTGTACTTTGTTACATATAGTACATCCTTGTAGTCTGAAGAAAAGTCTCTCTCCTTGCCTTCTGGGGCCCACAATCCCACCTTGCAAGCCAGACTGCACAATGCATGCTTAGCCTGCTTCAGTGTCCTGTTTAGTTTCAGTTTTAGCCCAGCTTGTAAGAAACCAGCTGTGCTACCCAAACGTTAATAGGCGCTTGGAGCTTGCTGTGGTGTGTATGTTTTGATATTGAGAGCGGAAATAAAGACTAAGTCTTGTATGCTTTGATTTTGTGTTTTCCACAGCCCGTCTTTTCCACCAGGCTTTCATAAGCTTCAGAAATTACATTATGCAATCTCATTCTCTGGATGTGGACATTCACATTGTCTTGAATGACATCTGCTTCAGTGCAGGCAAGTGCTTAGAGAATTCTTTAAAAAAAATATTTTGTGTGTGTGAGAAAGGGAGGAGGGAGTTAAGTTGAGGGGAAGGAGAGGAGAGAAGCATGTGTGTATGCCATGGCACTCGTTTGGTTGGAGATCAGAGGACAGCTTTTGGGAATCTGCTCTCTTTCCCCGGCTGTAGGTTCCTGAGATTGTATGGCAGTACCTTTCCTTGCTGAGCTATGTCCTTGACCTGCTTAGAGGATTTTTAAAAATTGTTTTTATGTGTATGGGTGTTATGCGTGCACATGTGTCTGTGCTCTACGTGCACGTGGTGCCTGCAGAGGCCAGAGAAAGGTATCAGATCCCCCAGAACTGGAGTTGTGGAAGATTGTGAGCTGCTATGTGGGACCTGAGAATTGAACTTGGAAGAGCAACCACAGTATTTTTAACCATGGAGCCATTGCTCCAGCCCACTGAGAGGAAGTTTTAAATGAATGATTGTGTGTGTGTGTGTGTGTGTGTGTGTGTGTGTGTGTGTGTGTGTGTGTGTATGTAAAACTATGCTCCTTTGGGTACTCAATCAGAGACTAGAGGACGGCAATAGGGTCCAGCCTATCACTGGCTCTCACTAAACCTAGAGCTGGACTGGTGGCTGGCAAGCCTCAGCAATCCTCCTGTCTCCCTTCCCCTTCCAGAGCTGGGGTTAAAGATGTGCTGACAGCCTTGCCCAGCTTTGTAGATGTGTGCTGGGGTCTGTACTTAGGTCCTCATGCTTGTACTGTGAACACTTGTATGCACTGAGACATCTCTTAAGCCCTGAGAATCTTAAGACTATTGGAGACTGTGCTTTCTGTTACTTCCTATTCATGTTTATTTCTCTGTCAGGGCTTCCTTGTTTTAGAATAGGTCCTGGCAATGTACTCTGTAAGTCACTGCAGTCAATAGGAGTCCTCATGGGTCACTGTGCCTTCACATCAAATCCCTCAGTAAGTCATGCATAGACTGTCTTTGAGCCATCATCCTCCGCTCTCTGTTGGGATCACAGCACCATGAGTGGAATTGTTGCACCAATAGAATAGCGCGTGGCTCTTCCATCTGTTTCTGCCACCGCTGCTTTCTCCTCCATAAAGTTCTTGTCCCAAAAGAAAACAAACACTAGGTATGATGGCTCTCTAGTCTTATCCCTCTGAAGGTTGAGGTGGGATCGGGATCTCTTTGAGTCCCAGGCCAGCCTGGGCCCTGTCTTAAAACAAAAACAAAGTAGAAACCAAGTTTTTTGATTTCCATGAGTGTCTTGGTGTCTTAATTATAGTGTTAAATGCATTTAATGCTTAGACTTTTAGCTTGTGCCAGGCACTGAGAGAGAACCTGATACATAGCCAAATGGGACACACTGTACTTTCCTGTCAGGGCCACTAAGGTGTGGAGAAACTGACTTGGTTTTCTTTGGTCTTTGAAATTAAACAAACAAAAGCCACTGAGCTGGGGTGGAAGTGTAGCTCAGGGTTGATCATGGCCTTAGCATGTACAGAGCCTTGGCTTGAAGCTCCAACGGCCATTCTACCCAAAACATTTCAAAAAAAGAAAAGTTCAAATCTCTCTAATGTATGTCCAGGTCCTTTTCGTGTGTTTCTTTGTTTTGTTTTTCTGAGACAGGGTTTCTCTGTAGACCAGGCTGGCCTTGAACTCATAGAGATCCGCCTGCCTCTGCCTCCCACATGCTGCGATTAAAGGTGTGTGCCACCACCACCTGGCCATGCTCTTTATTTTTAGTTTAATTCCCCACTGTTTTAACCTTTGCTTATTTATACTGGATTGTTGAGCATGGTAGTTGGCAGCTAGTTTTTTGTTTGGCCAAAGATGTGAGTGGAGTTTGGAGAAGGAAGGAATAGAAAATGCTGTCCCAAAGAAAGGTGCTCTTGCTCCAGGGCTCACTCAAAAGAATTGTTTTCCAATGGGCATGGTGGAGCACACCTTTAGTGCCAGCACTTGAGAGGCAGAGACTGGTGGATATATGTGAGTTTCAGGCCAATCTGGTCTACTGAGTGAGTGCCAGGACAGGTGCCAGAGCTACAGAGGGAAACCCTGTCTCAAAAGAAAAAAAGAAGAAAAGAAGAAATGGTTTCCTTAGCAGTGGGGGGTCTGAAGTGGGAGGAGTGCAAGTTTGAGGTTGGGTTTTGAGTATTGATGCAGAGCGATCCTGCTAATGTACTGTGCTGTTTTACAGCTCACGTGGACGATTTATTTCCATTTTTCTTGAGACATGCCAAACAGATATTTCCCGTATTGGAATGCAAGGAAGATCTCCGTAAAATCAGTGACTTGAGGATACCACCCAACTGGTTAGTTCTTGTGTTTACTGATACAGCATTTCCTAATTTGGAGAAACTAATATTGATACTTGTATTTTATAATAAATTATAGAGTCTATATTTTGTTTTCCCTGAAAACAAAATAACAAAGGAATTAATTCTGTAAGACATATTATTGGTATGTCCCTTTTGTCCTGATAAAGCTTGAGTTAACTTT